ACCTTAATAAAAATAAAATAAATACTTCTTCTCTGAATTGGCAAAGGTTACAGGTTATAGATATTTGGCATGACCTCTACCAAGATTGTTCAAATAATGGCCCTTGGGTCAAAAATTAAAAGTAAATGATATATTTGGTAATATGATATCCATAGGTCCTCTACCAAAGTTTTACAAATGTATATTTATTTATCTTTTAAAATGGGCTTTCTTTTTTAAATTATAGATAATTAATTTCAATCTTTTTGCTATCAAACGACTGTGGTATTAGACAAAACTAGTGTCAATGGATCAATCAACATTGTTAAAATTTTGGCACTCATTTAATGTTAGTTCTCTACTTGAGAGTCCTCAATTCCCAGAAAAATATTTAAAACATTTATTAAAACACAAGGAAGTGCATTTATCTAGTCATCAGGTGAGTGCTTTGGGAGGGACCTATGGCCCCCATTGTCCATACTTAATTTTGGCTCAAAGCATATGAGCTGTATGATGAAAGAACAAGTTGAAACTTTATAGGAAGATGTAACACTAATTTAGAGGTACAGTTTAGTTGAAGTTTTACTCAATATTTGTGTTTTTTGCTATGTAAATAGTCTATCTTTGACATAACTGTCAAATTTAGCCACCAGCACAAAACATGTGCTTTTGCTTTAGTTTGTGGCTTTCAGAAGTTGAAATTTATTTGTACTGTTAACCCATTACTTCATATACACGCCTTTTAACGCCTTTTTCACCCCCCCCCCCATTTTGTTGTCTCAAATGGTGGAAAAATGCATTATTTTGGCCTTTAACACTTGTTTTTGTTTGAGAAATGTTGTTAAAAAAAGTGACCACTTTTTCGGCGCGGTCCCCCAACCCCCAAAGATACATCAGGGGGTTGCCAGAAGGGAGATGTGCCCCCTTCTGTTTGGGGGGTTTGAAGGGGGGCGGAGTCCCCCTCATCGCCAAGAAAATTTTGGACTTGTGAGAGGCTATAAATGACCCCAGATTGATCATAAGGTAACGTGTAACCAACGCTGAAAAGCATTTGACTCTATCTCAATCCATTGAGAAGTTGTGCACAGCACTTTGAAATAAATTATGATGGAAAAAATCAACGCAAAATAGTGAATTTAGGCAATTTTGAGATGTCCCCTCGTTGCCATGGTAACAGAAAATTTAAGCCTGAGCATGTTGTTGCAAGGGCAATGGTCCAGTCAACATTTGTGCCAAGTTTGATTAGTGTTGAAGCAGTTTTTATAGTATTTTAGCAATTTGAACTTGTAACGGGAGACTTTTCAATGAAAACAGCCATTTTTCACAAAATGCTCATGAAGTAATGGGTTAATGAAAAAAATCAAAAAATCTACAAAACAACAATTTTTCTTCAAATTTATATGACAGGCCATGTTTAAACACGGAAAAACGCAAATTTAGAGTAATTTCAAGTATTTTCATCATTTTCTGTTAACCCATTACTTCATATATACGCCTTTTAACGCCTTTTTCACCCCCCCCCCCTTTTTGTTGTCTCAAATGGTGAAAAAATGCATTATTTTGGCCCTTAACACTTGTTTTTGTTTGAGAAATGTTGTTAAAAAAGTGACCACTTTTTCGGCGCGGTCCCCCAACCAAAAGATACATCAGGGGGTTGCCAGAAGGGGGATGTGCCCCCTTGTGTTTGGGGGGTTTGAAGGGGGGCGGAGTCCCCCTCATCGCCAAGAAAATTTTGGACTTGTGAGAGGCTATAAATGATTGATCATAAGGTAACGTGTAACCAACGCTGAAAAGCATTTGACTCTATCTCAATCCATTGAGAAGTTGCAGCACTTTGAAATCAATTATGATGGAAAAAATCAACGCAAAATAGTGATTTTTGGCAATTTTGAGATGTCCCCTCGTTGCCATGGTAACAGAAAATTTAAGCCTGAGCATGTTGTTGCAAGGGCAATGGTCCAGTCAACATTTGTGCCAACTTTGATTAGTGTTGAAGCAGTTTTTATAGTATTATAGCAATTTGAACTTGTAACGGGAGACTTTTCAATGAAAACAGCCATTTTTCACAAAATGCTCATGAAGTAATGGGTTAAGGAGACAGCTGTCTATAATTTAAACGGATTACACCACTTGTTTTTATTGTACCTAGGAAAGGTTTACATGACATTGTTTTTTTTATTTTTCCTCTTCTGTTTTCCTTATTTTACCTTGTGATGTATAAATAAAACCAGATTACCTGATTTCAGATTTTGACTTTTATCTTTATTATATAGTAATAAGTAAAGCTATCCTACTAAGCTTGACATTATATTGGCATTAGGCATCGGTGACATTCTAATGTGGTATGCCGTGCATTATCAACATCATGATAGTCGTTAGACACATTCAGTAGGTATTAGGTTGATTCAAACCAACTTGAGCTAAAACGAACACAAAATTAGGAATACTTGAGTGTAACCATTAGTGATAATTTTGAATATGGAAAACACACACTGACAATTTCTCTTCGTTATCTATGAATACTCTAATTTACGAAAAGAAATCTAGAGGCAAAATTAAAATCGTGACAAAACCTATGTACGGACTTGGAATACTGTAACACTGTTTGGCATCTGTGCCTAATAAAAACCATTCATCTATAGAAAAAAGAAATGAATGATAACTTTTACTATAGCAAAGTATAGCATATCTGAGTTATGGCTTTTTGTCGGTTTTTGATTATTTTTTTTTTTCACTTTTTTTTCAACTGTTTTTCACATAACTAATTAACCAGTCAAGATAGCAACTTTAAACTTATAATATTTTTTCTGATATGTAAATAGTTAAAACTTAAAAAATTATCTTGAAATTGACAAAGGCTTGAGATTAGATATTTTATCATTTTATGTTCAAATTATAGCCCTGGGGTCAAAATTGGCCCTACCCTGGTGTCATTGATTTTCACTATGTTCATAAAGTAAAAAATTAAAAAATCTTATAGTCTGAAGTTTTTTATTCGTTATTACGAAATATTTATTCGTTTTTACGAAATATTATTTCGTTTGAAATTACAAAATCATAAAAGCGTAATTTGCTTTGTGCAAACGTAACATGATTGTTTTTTTGTTTTTGTTTTTTTTTCGTAAATAATAAACTAAAGTCTTCAAATGCAAGGCTTTAATATCAATGTTTTCAGACAATTTAAGGTCCAAGAATGACCATAATCATTAATACACTGAAGTGAAACAAAGGACGACCTTATACAGTTTCCAACTTCCAGGCAATGGCATTTAGCACTTACTGTTCAAGGCGAAAACGTTAAATATATTGGATTTTCCAAAGTCAAGTGTCAAGTTATTAATATTCATCTAGTTTTTCGGTCAAGGCTTGAAACAGAGAAGTGGCACTTTGAACTGTTTTTGGAACAGGCAGCTCTTGTCTCGGGATTTCACACACATATTCCAGAATCGGGATAAATTCATCTGAACATCCAAACTGAGGTTTCCTTACAGTATATATCTCTTGCAAACAATTAATTGTTTGCATATCACAAGGGAGAGGATATGAATAATCTCGCGTTTCATATGCTTCTGGCTGGTAGTACATCACAGTCGGTATACCACTTGGTACCTCCGTGTGCCTTTGCTGTCGAATTCGATGCAAGTTCCATACTCGCGTGAAGCTGTCTAAGTCACGTTGAATTAATGGTAAGAAGCAATATCTTAAACACTCTAAATGCACAGGATCATCGGTCCTTAGCAAACCACGTTCGACCATATCTTTGAAATAGTTCCTCCAGGACACTGTAAAACCATGTCTTAAATTGACCTAGAAACGTTCGATCCTTTGGTTAGCTGTTGACCTTCCAGTGATAAAACTGTTTATTCCAGACATGTTATCTCCATCGTCATACCTTAATGCTGTCTGTAAATCACGTACAGTCACGTTTTCAGTCCCTGCATCAGAACGTATAAGACGCGGAACGCGACCTGTACGTTTAAGGAAATTGACAAAGAAGCCAGCGATTATTCGGGGGTCATTATTTGAGTGGCATGCTTCTAACCATAAAATATATCTAGAAAATCCATCAATGGCTCCGTGAATAGCGACGCCAAAAGGTTTCAGCTTATCGTAGCCATCAATGTGTATAGCAAAGTTGGGACCTTTATTGATATAAGTTCGGCGACGTAAGCGATGTGCAGATCTCAAAGTAACACCTACAGGATCAATAGCCTTTAAGACAAGTCTTGTTGTTTCTTGTGTAACTTTAACATTTGTTGTTGTGTTTACTATTTTCCATATTGTTTTATAACCACAGTCAGCAAATCCTCTGTTATATACTGCACGAATCTCGCGTATTACATCTCGTAAAGGAGAAGAAGCACCGCGTCTTTTCGGTCCTAACCTTCTGAGTATCCGCTTCATTTGACTTAAGCTGACAACAGTATTGTGCACCAATAATAAGAATCCACATATGTCTAAATGGGAATAACCTTGTCGATGATAACAAGAAATCAATGCATCTCTCTGTCCATTTTGAAGAACCGCTTCAGTCGATTCGAATAGCGACAAGGCCAAGAAAAGGCATACCTGCATATAAAACAGAAGGCATATTATTCAGGGATGCTTATATTATCAAAACAGAATGGCGGAAAGTTCATTAAAAATTAGCAATTGGTAGCAGTTTAAGATTAAGCCAACGCCTGTTGTTTCCCATGTCTCATTGATTCAAGTGGTGGTCTAATCTGTCAGAACTATAAAGTAGGAGCCGACTGTCTTACTACCATTCTGGTAATTTATTCAAGTATTATATGATCAAGTAAACGTTGCTTTTTTCTCAATAACAATACTAACTATAAATTGTGTAGAGGATGATAATGCAACATAAAAAGATTGACAAATACAAAAAAAAACATAAAAAAAAACATTTGGAATAAAAATATAGATTAATTAAGAATTTAGTACCTGTATACGTTGCATAACTTCCGTTTTGCCAGACGGTAAGTATCCTATGGGGTAAGAAGCATTATAAAAAGCAGTTTTTTGTCGTCGTAGGTTATGACGCAAAGCTGTAAATAAATGTTCAAGTAGGGGAAATATATATTCCAGATGCTCGACTATCACGTTAAGTCGACTTATTTCTTTTTGACAAAAATATTTATATAGGAATGAGATAAAAAGATTTTATCAACATGCTTATAAGAACTAGGTAAGTCAGGGAAGAAGGATGTACAAATTATGTGGATAAGCTGACATAGCATACGTCGGCATGGCATATTTTAAAATAATGTTGCATTAACTTATGTCAGAAAAATAAGCTTACGTAGACAACTGGTACAGTTCATTTTCTTTCGTTATCATAACAAGTCGACTTACCTAAAGTAGACTTAATCATATCATCATGGTGTACCTTATACGTTTCCATAAATGATTATGATGACATGTGCAGACAACATCCTAACTTGTCAAAGTATCGTGATGACTTGTGCAAACAACATGTTAACTTGTCAAAGTATAATGATGACTTGTGCAAATGACATGGTAACTTGTCAAAATGTAATGATGACTTGTGCAAACGACATGTTAACATGTCGAATTATTGTGATGACATGTGCAAACAGCATGTTAACTTGTCAAAGAATCTTGATGACTTGTGCAAACGCCATGTTAACTTGTCAAAGTATAATGATGACTTGTGCAAACGACATGTTAACTTGTCGAATTATCGTGATGACATGTGCAAACAGCATGTTAACTTGTCGAAGTATCATGGTGACTTGTGCAAACAGCATGTTAACATGTCAAATTACCATGATGACTTGTAATGACAACATGTGAACTTGTCAAAGAATCGTGATGACTTGTGCAAATGGCATGTTATCTTGTATCATGCTGACATGTCAAAACGTACCGTTAACTTGTCAAAGTATTATGATAACTTGTGCAAATACCATGCTAACATGTCAAAATTCCATGATGACATGTGTAAACAGCATGTTAACTTGTCAAATTATCGTTATGACATGTGCATACAGCATGTTAACTTGTCCAAGTATCATGATGACTTGTGCAAACGACATGTTAACTTGTCCAAGTGTAATGATGACTTGTGCAAATGCCATGTTAACTTGTCAAAATTTCATGATGACATGTGCAAACAGTATGTTAACTTGTCAAAGTGTCATGATGACTTGTGCAAACGCCATGTTAACGTGTCAAAGTATAATGATGACTTGTGCAAACGACATGTTAACTTGTCGAATTATCGTGATGACATGTGCAAACAGCATGTTAATACGGAAGCTTGTATGTACCCCCGCTATGAAGACATGAAGTCGTCTCCCTCGACTTATAGAACACGACAAGTCGTCAAAATTACGACGACAAGTTTATATATACCATGTCATTTTGACAAAATATATGTCATTATGTCGAGATACGGCATCCCGAATTCCATACATAAATAAATTTGTCGACTTGAAGTAACATGTATGTCGACATCCATGTTATTTCTAGTCGACAAATATATTAACGTATGAAAGTCGGGATACCGTATCTCGACATGATGACATATATTTTGTAAAATGACATGGTATATATAAACTTGTCGTCGTAATTTTGACGACTTGTTGTGTTCTATAAGTCGAGGGAGACGACTGCATGTCTTCATAGCGGGGGTACATACAAGCTTCCGTATGTTAACTTGTCAAAGTATCATGGTGACTTGTGCAAACAGCATGTTAACATGTCAAATTACCATGATGACTTGTGAAGACAACATGTGAACTTGTCAAAGAATCGTGATGACTTGTGCAAATGACATGTTATCTTGTATCATGCTGACATGTCAAAACGTACTGTTAACTTGTCAAAGTATTATGATAACTTGTGCAAATACCATGCTAACATGTCAAAATTCCATGATGACATGTGTAAACAGTATGTTAACTTGTCAAATTATCGTGATGACATGTGCATACAGCATGTTAACTTGTCCAAGTATCACGATGACTTGTGCAAACGACATGTTAACTTGTCCAAGTGTAATGATGACTTGTGCAAATGCCATGTTAACTTGTCAAAATTTCATGATGACATGTGCAAACAGTATGTTAACTTGTCAAACCATCGTGATAACATGTGCAAACAACATGCTATCTTGTCCAAGTATCATGGTGACTTGTGAAAGCGACATGTGAACTTGTCAAAATTTCATGATGACAAGTGCAAACAGCATGTTAACATGTCAAGGTATCGTGATGACTTGTGCAAATGCCATGTTAACTTGTCAAATTATCATGATGACTTGTACAAACAACATGTGAACTTGTCAAAGAATCGTGATGTCTTGTGCAAAACACATGTTAACTTGTTTAGGTATTTTGAGCATGTCATCACGATAATTCGACAAGTCAACATGCTGTTTGCACATGTCATCATGACATTTTGACAAGTTAACATGTCGTTTGCACAAGTCATCATGTTATTTTGACAAGTTATTATGTCGTTTGCACAAGTCATCATGATACTTTGACAAGTTACCATGTTGCCTGCACATGTCATAATGATTATTTGACAAGTTAACATGCTGTTTGGGCAAGTCAGCATTGTCTTTAGACAAGATATGATGTAAATTGCACATGTTAATATGCTTAAATGACAAAATAATACCATCATTTCAGAAGATAGCAAAAATATTTATAACATAAGACAGTCACGGCGTTCCATACACAAGGCTCACCTGAGAATATTAACTCATCATCACCACGAATGATGATCGTCTCTTTTGTCCTGATCAATACTTCAGTACCACATATCCCATTGAGAAGACTTCTTACATCATCTGAAGGATAAAACATTATAATGTCTATCAAACAACAGCTCATTAGTAACTTGGCATCTTTTGAAGTCCTGAGAAAACACATATGTATATACCTGTTTTTATAGCAAAAATCTAAGCAAATTTACTTTAAAGTTTGTTTAAAAAAGTAAATATTTGCTTAACATTATTGCATTTTCCTCTATAAAGTAGTTAATATAAATTATATTAGGAAGCTCTAACATACAAAGATACATACCAACACTCAGGTCAGTATATGTCCCACCACTGATCTGGTAAGTAAAAGGTTGATAATTCTCCGTTCTACTCACATCACCATATACTAATGTGTTTCGTACCATGTAATCTAGCTGTATGAAAATAATAAGTATAAACAACAATTAGACAGCACTTAAAGAAAAGCAATGCTAAATATTTTTAAAATATGAATAACTTATAGCATAAATTGCAGCATTAAGAAAGAAGAGATACTGTATAACAATGTGCTTTAACAAAGTATAGTAGCTAAAAGAAAAACAACCTGACTTTGATAGGCTCTATATACTTAAGAAATTTGGACTTTAATGGGCCCTAAAGAAAAACGAAGAAACTTTCCCTTCTGTTTCTTTTTAGTTTTTATTCCCTTTTACATTTTCACTAAAATTTTCAATTAGCATGGCATACTTATCATTTTTGCATATCTGTAAATATTATAATACTATTGTTTTCATTTTGTGCTTCTAGAATTAAAACTTGTGACTGTGACTGCTCATTTACTAAGCAAGCATACCTTATTCAGAAGAACTCCTTCACGCAAAGAATGTGATACCCATTTTGAAGAAACAATTGTAATCCTTCTCCCAACAAGTGCCTTGAACAGCTTAAGAGTGGTCAAACACTTGTCCTTTTCTGAAAAAATAATATTTTATAAGACAAATTTGACATTGCCATGATAGTATACATTAAAACTAAAACTAAACATTAGATATAAAGAGCATGAAACAATTTAGTTTAACATGTCACCTTACTTTAAGGACAAGTACAAACAACAAAAATATACGCTGTATAAGTAACAACAGCTGTCACCCAAGTGAGGAATGCCCCCGAAAAGGTTTCTTAAGCATGCAGGTATTATGAAAAGAAAAGAGAATGAAAGTAACTAATTGCTGAATATTGTTCTTTGTATTATTGTACCTGTAATCTGTAATTGTGATAGCATGAACCTTCAAAATATAAGTGTGACCTTGACCTTTGTAGAAGGGACGTGGTTCCCGGACGCAACAAAATGTTGTTATGAGATAGACATTTGTGCCAAGTTATTTCAAAATCCCTCAATGCATGACAAAGTTACAGCCTGGACATGATTTTTGTGTAAGTGGGGACAGACGGACATGAGCCATAGCTGCGACACATTGTCTTGATTTGGTAGACATTTGTGCCAAGTTATTTCAAAATCTTTCCATGTATGACAAAGTTACAGCCCGGACACGATTGTGTCTACCTATCTAATTGTGATAATGTGAAAATTGATATGACCTTGACCTTTGAGGTAGGGACGTGATAATTGGAAGCGACACATTGTCTTGATGTGGTAGACATGTATGCCCAGTAATTTAAAAATCATTCGATGCATGAAAAAATTAGAGTCCGGACACGAATGTGTGTACCTGTTTACTCTAATTGCGATAATGTGCAACTTCAAAATGATAGTGTGACCTTGACCTTTGAGGTAGGGACGTAATTCTTGACGACACATGTTTTGATGTGGTAGACATTTGTTCTTCAAATAAGATTCTTGACAAAAAATAAACACATGGGCCAATACTTCGAAAATGAACCCAAAAATGGCACAATTGTTATTCCCATCGACTACCATTGATGGCCTGTAAAACTTGAACTTTAACTACAGATCTTGGTATTGTAGCAGACACATTGTCTCAATGTGGCAAGTAATTATCTAGTACCTTAAAATTTACCAGTAAATGACAACATAATGGCAAAAACAGTTCATCCATATCATGTTAAGCCTCAGACATTGATATAGGGCAGACAGGGAAATGGTGCATTTGCTTTAAAGATCCTGTATGTTTTGTGATTGATATTATTATTGTGTGAATACCACACTTGCAAAACTTATATATGTAAATAATTATGCAAATAAAACATTTTTCAAACATCAAAGGATATGTAAAATGTGTACTGCAAATATTTGTGCACATTATATTTAATCAATAAATTACATGCATTCTTTTCTTATTGGAAAATTTGACTTAGAATTTATGGAAAATAAATTTCTAATTACCTCCCTTTATTTACATGAAATGTTAAATTCGGTAATATCTTCATAAATAATGCTTATTGGAACTTACAATATTGACAAATCTTAATTTGAGCATCATATTTATGAAATAAAACCATGAAAAAAATGTGTTACAGGATCTTTAAGCTACAACCTAAACAACCAAATGTTGAAATAAAATACCTGTTATGATTATCAACACTGTAGCATCATCTAGTGAATCAGCCATAGTAATAAATGGAAACAATTTAAGGAAACCCTGTAATTGTAAAACAACAAATTCTATTAATTCTTTAAGAGGTGTATCGTGTTTATCTTTTCATAATAAATAAAGGGAGCTTATTTCCTAAAATTCTTTGTTTACACAAAACACTGTAGCTGAAATCACAGTGAAAAACAGTGTGAGTACATTCAATTTTTCTAATGAGTTCATAAGTTTGTATTAGACTGGTTTGATTTTGGGAAAATGTTCATCCTAACGGCATTTTTTAGTACAAGCAGGTAGTTGGGCTTACTTACCTATTTCGAGTACGCTGAATTCATTTTTTGCTCTACCACGGCTGTATTTTTTGTCCTTGACCTTTAAAAATCAATTTCAAAATGGCCGCCATTGAATTTTTTAATTTTACTTTAATTTTCCCATGGGCGTGATATATACATATTTTTTGGCATTTTAATTTAAGGCTTTGTTAATTTTAGTCTGGACGAGAAGAATAGATGCAAAAACAATAAAATTTATTGCGGCAGCCATCTTGGATTTCAAAATGGCTGACAATTTCCTATGTTTTATACAATGTATTATAATTAAAGTAAACAAGCACAAGAAGACATTTTACCAGGCATGTTTTCTTTTATTAGAAGTGCAGTGATACTAAAATTAAGACTTCCATGCGCAGATTTTGAAAAACATCCATTAAAACAACAAATTTTATGGTGCACAAAGGTCACAATTTACCCTAATACAACGAAAATGAGAGTCATATTCGCCCTCACTTTGTCATTGAGATGTTATTTTATACTTCTAAGAATACAATCCATGGTG